CCCTCAACATCCATACTGATAATAAGGGGTTCATGACTCTTAGGAAAGGGTTAGGCAGGAAAGTTAGGGGGTTTCACGTTTGCCTGCAAATACATTGAGGTCATCCTATCCCAGAGGGGTCCACCCCAGTCTGCCCACAATAAATCAAGCTGGAAGGCATTTTGGTGCTAAAAGTAACTACATGGAAGCAAGTGAGCAGAAAGTTGGGTACTAGTTTAAGCTGGTCATTCTACTTAAGTGATGACATGAAGAGTCCAATGACTTTCAACTCACCTGAGCCTCGTTACACCATCATTATAATGTGATGCATATGCCCAGAAGTTCATTAATATCATTATAACAGAATGAATTCTCAGAACAAACATGTGCAGAACGCAAACATGTGCAGTCACTAGGTGTTGTCCCTCCCAGTTGTCCATGAAGAAACCCTATGCCTCTAAGAAAAGTGACTGCCCACAGCAAATAGGGGTAAAAGCACCAAAGGCTTTGTTGCTGGGCCTCTGAGCCACGCTTCTCTCACTCTGCCCTCTTCCACGACTGCAAGTGTACGGTCACTTTACCCTCCCTTCCAAAAAAGCCATTCTTTTCTGCGGCGCTTTAGTGTCCTGCTCAATTTTTTGTTTGAGACATCGAGAACCTAGACGACATGTCAGGAGGGAACCCCACTCTCCGGTAACATCTTGGCTTTTCTGGCCTCGTGAGGACTTTTAAATTCAATCTGATGATTCCTTGTAAAATTCTAGTAAAGCAGAATTTAAAATGCCTATCTGGTGAATTAACATTCTTTCTGGGCTTATTATTACCTATTTCTGGGCAATTACCTATTTTGCAAATGAATGAGACTTAATCTGGCTATCTTTGGTAAACAGATGTAGCTGGTGAGAAATATATGTTTCAATAAAAACTGAAATCTACCTATGTAAACATATGATTCTCATGCTATTGTCTTTTAGATTCTATTTTCTACTTGTATTTTGGACTGGATTCTAAATTCTTCCAGTTTCCTAAATATTTATCTGTGACTCTTTGAACATGTTTTCAATTTGTAATTTTTCTTTCATCCTTTAACTGGGAATTTTTAAAAACTATAACTGCTTTCTGCAAGCCATTCAAGCTAAAGATAGACAACTTGAAATATAATTTGAAAGACTGCCACAATGGCTCATGTTTGAACAGCCTCAGTGACTGGTGGGCCACGTGGAGTTTGCCTTGGTGTCTGCAGACAGCATCAGGGACATTTCAGGTGACGGCAGATGCTTCCAGCCTTACATCTAGAAATCTGCTGACAACTTTACTTACTCAGAACCTGCTTTATAATTTGCTCTATTAAACTGTTTCTCTTGTTTTCATTGACATAGGTGTCTATACAGTGGCTAATACAACCTGCTAAACCTACAGTAACAGCTCTGGAAAAGCTGACACTCAAATACATAGAATCATGCAAAAGGCAACTTTGTATGCATACTGAACCAAAAACTAACACTATATTCAATTAAATATAGGACACAGTCATTCCTCACCCCCGAACTCCGCCTCGTTTTAGTAGAAAGCAACTGGAGTAGTCATTGCCTCTCTTCCCTCAAGACTGAGGAATGATCAGGAGACCGGGGGGAGTTGTAACAGGAATTGTAGCCTGACGTGTTGCATGCAGCACTTGGGGCAAAGCCCTTAACCACCTGGTGGCCCTCCTTCGGCCCTTGGGGCCACTACTTGGTAACAGGACTGCTGGGCTGATGTGTAGTTAGTGTTAGGGTGTAGTCTTTATTGCAATTGTATATATGGATGCAATAACAAACGCTCTAGCCACCTACGGACGCCCTGTCTGGAAGAACTGACACGAAGAATGTGAGGTGGAGGAGCTATGCTGGAGTAACTCGGAACAAAGCTCCTGCACACACTCAGAAGTCTACTGGCCGCCCTGCCAGCAGTCAAGGCAGGCAGTGCACAGAGGACTTTTGGCAGCACCTGTCCCCAAGGACATTTCCTACTGCTCCTGTGGACAATATTTGCTCCTGTAATCCAGTATCACATCTCTCTCCCATTTGGCTGGGAAGGATTCCCCATGAGATCCTCCCCACCCCCTGCCCAGCTCATGGGCATTAAAGAACTCTGTTTGCTCTTGGTCAGCAGCTTCATTCCTGCAGCTCTGACTGGCCGCTGCTGATGAAGCTTCCCCACCTCATGAGTAATAAATGGCATTTCTCAGCATTATGGTCCTCCTGGTGGTTTTTCCAGAGCACGCAAAATCAGGTGCAAGCTTCAGGCCTGCGGCTCCTGTGTTACACCCTAACTGCCCTCCAGAGCTGAAAAGCAATTAATCTGGGTTCCTACTCATGAAATGAACACAGACGTCTTTTACATTTATACACAGCTACACCAAAGAGAAAAGAGAAAGTAGAAATCAAAACATAGCTGATGAAAATCTTCTCACTTTACATACATATGTTATTGTTGATATTATTGATAGAATCGTGATCTGAGCACTTACTTTATGTGATCCTTATTACTTTGGATTATGGATTATGAAATGGCTGAGAATATGGCTCAACTTTTTGGAGGTACCATATGCACTTAAAAAGAAATTCATTCCTGAGTAAAATGTTATAATAATATCAACTAGGGTTACTTTTTAAAAATAAATGTTTTCTCTCTTCTACATAACTGATTATTTCCTGTCTCTTTTATCTATCAATAACTGAAATAAAACTGTTACTGTCTCTAATGAATTTTATGGATTTCTGTCTCTTTCTTAAGTTGCATCACCTTCAGTGTTATATATGTTCAAGTGATTTTTCAGATGCACAGATTTTTAGAATATGATGTCTTTTGGAGGATGATCCATGGTTTTATTGTGTCTCCTCAGAGAAGTTATGTTGCTAACCTTTCCCCCAGTAACTGAGAATGTGACCTTACTTGAAAAGAGGTTCATTGAAATTAGATATAATTAGTTAACACAAAGACGTATTAAAGTTAAGTGGGGCCATAATCCCATATGACTGAGTCCAACAGAAGTAACCAAAAAATCTACATCAAGACATGTTCTAATCAAATTGTTGAAAGATAAAGAGGGAATCTTAAAAGTACCAGGAGACAAAATAATTTCTTTTTAGCATACTAGAGATGTTTAATAAGATTAGCAATATATTTGTCAGCAGAAATCTTAGCTTCCAAAAGGCTGTGCATGACATATTTAAAGTTCTGAGTTGGGGGTGGGGTGCGGTGGGGACTTGTCAAACAAGAGTTTCACATCTGACAAAACTGCCCTTCAAAAATGAGACAAAAATACATATTCCCAGACAAAAGCTGAGGGAGCTAGTTACCACTAGGCATGCCCTACAATAATGCTCTGGTCAGTCCTTCAAGTTGAAATAGAATAACGCTGTAAGAAAAAAAGACATAAAAAATCAGAAAAGTTATGACAGATACCACAAATAATTATATAAGAAACATGAAAAATTGTATGCCATCTAATTCAATAACCAAGAAGAAATTGTCAAGTTCTTAAAAATATAAAACCTTCCTAGACTGAGTCATAAAGTACTGGAAAATCTAAGTAAATTGATCAACAGTAAGGAAACTAAAAGAATCATCAAAAACCTCTCCAAAAGTAAAAGTCAAGGACCAGATGGCTTCTCCAGTGATTTCTACCAAATATTCAACGATAATTTAATACCTGTTGTTTTTTCAAACTCTTTCAAAAAATTAAAGAAGGGGCAATACTTCTGAAGTCATTTTATGAGGTCAACATTACCCCAATACCAAAACTTGGTAAGGATAACAACTCACATGAAATTACACAAAAATCTTAAACAAAATACTAGCACATTGAATACAACAACACATTAAAAGATTTAACACCTAGATCAAGTGAGCTTCATCCCAGGGACACAGGGATGGTTCAAAATATGCAAATCGATCTATGTGATACACCACATAAACAAAATAAAGGATAAAAGTTAAATGACTATTCAACAGATGCAGAAAAAGCATTTAACAACTTATAGCACCCACTTATGATTAAAACACTCAATCAAATGGGTATAGAAGGCAAGTACTTCAACATATTAAAGGCCATATTTGACAAACCCTGTGCTAATATCATACTTAATGGTGAAAAATGGAAACCTTTTCCTCTAAAATCAGGAATCTAGTGGACAAGGCTGTCCACTAGAACCACTGTTATTCAATATAGTATTGGCCAGAACAATCAGGCAAGAGAAAAAAATAAAAGACATTCAAATCGGAATGAAAAGTTAAACTGTCATTTTGCAGATGACATTGAAAACCCTAAAGATCTCATCAAAATCTATTAGAAAAAATAAACAAATACAGTAAAGTTTCAGGAAACAAAATCAAGATACAAAAATCCATTAAGTTCCTTTATTAACATTGCAATTTTTGAAACAGAAATAAATCCTTTGGTAATTGCAACAAAAAGAATAAAGCATGCGAGGGCCTATTCACTGAAAACTACAAAACATTATTTAAAAAATATGAAAGAAGACAAAGAAATGAAAAGATATTTTGTGTTTATGGATTGCAATAATCAACATAGTTAAAATGACCATATCAACTAAAGCAATATACAGATTTAATGCAATCCCTACCAAAATCCTAACATCATTCTTTAAAGAAACGAAAAATTAACAGACTGCTAAGTAGCTAAAGCAATCTTGGGAGAGGGGAGGGAGAGAAGAGAAGGAAGGCCATAGAGATCACACTGCCTGACTTCAAATTATACTACAAAGTGACAATCAAAGAGTACATTATTGGTTGAAAAACACACACGGACCAAAGAAGAGACTGATGCACAACAGGGCAAATTTCTCCAAGTGAAGGGGAGACCAAGCCCTACACCTACAGAAGAAGGTCCTTTGGCGGCGAGTGTAGAAAGAATTTGACACACACAGCAAAGTAGAGCAAAAAGGAAAGTATATTAGAAAAGGGGTAACACTCCACAGACAGTGTGATCTTGTCTCAGAGGCAGAGAGTGAATGCGAGACAGTAAAAGCACTGAGAGGAACCCAAGTGTTCAGGAAATTCAGTTTATATGTCATTCTTTAGTTCCCATTTCCTTTGATATAAACATACAGTGAGGAAGGGGAAGGGTAGTTGTCCTCTTGGCCTGGGTGCAAGGCTGATCAGCATATTGCAGTCTCTGGTTGAGGCTTAATTAACATTTTAATTTTCGTGCATACTCCTTGCATTATTAATACCATGTATTGTTCTAGACGAGGAGGTTGGAAAACTTTTTGTAAAAGGCCAAATAGTACATACCTTACAGTTTGCAGGTCACTGAATCTCTGTAAGGCTACTAAACTCTGCTGCTCTTATAGCAAGAACAGCAGCCATAGATAATACATAAATGAATGGCTGTGGCTTTGCTCCAATAAATCTTTTTTTCAAAGA